CACACAAGAGAAACACCCAGATAACTTTTGAGTATACATGCCCAGCTGCATGCAAGGATTGTGCTGTAACTGACCATGGATATGCCTCTAGAAACATCTACTGCAACCAGGTGCTGGAGAATTCCTGTTGCCAGGGAAGCCATGTAACGTTTATTTGATAAGTAATGGCTTATGAAGTTTATTTGATCAGTGTTCTCAGTGCTGTTGTTCAGTACGTTCTTGCCCTGCTCTAAAATCTTGACCATTTTGATTTTTCTCGTTGCGGTGTTATTAGAACCCCTGGACTCATGAGGGAGGGTCCTCTTACCTCAGCCTGTTGCATACTTAGGACCACAGGTCTCTCTATACCATTGTGCCCAGTTCCATGTTTATTCTTAATATCAGCAACGTAACAGAGGCATATGTTGAGCTTCTCTTGTGTCTTTCATAGTAAATAAGACATAACAGATGCACTGTTTTGTTTTGAATTAGTATTTTTTCCCAAATGGACCCACGTAATAGTTTAATGTGACCAAAAGAAATCATCAGCGGCAGCTGTTGACACAAATTCCCTGGCTCTTCTCCCATAGATTCTAACTCTTGATCCCAGACATCTGGAATAGGATAGAGTCTTTATGTTCAACAAAGACCTCTTGTAATATACTAATTATGATGTAAGACTATTATAGCATAAAAATAATAGTAAATCATAAAGTGATTCTAGGAAGTAATAGGTTTTTATGTTTAAACAAATGGCTTAACTTATTAAAACCAGACCAATATAATTGTCATATTCTGATCACCAACCTAGTGGAAATGGAAAATTAAGAAAAAGTAAAGGCATCATATTTTCTCTTTCTCGTACTCTGTCTACATCTTTTATTCTTCCTCAGCAATTGTGAAGTTGAATATAAAGTCACCAGTGCATTCTAGCCATTGCTGTCAAACACTTTTCCTACTAGTATCTGAACTCTTGGTGACATAGTTAGGTAGCTGCTGTCCACTTACCAGAAAGCCAAAAGTTATTCAGATACCTTTCCTCATCTTCTCTATTCACATTGTCTGTCAGAGCAAAGGTGGAGAAAAAATACTTTCTAAAATATAACATTTTGTATGAATAGGAAACATTCTTAACTTTTGTATTACTGTTAATACATTTTAGTAATATTGAATATTTAATATATTTAAATAAGTCACCCAATACTTTTTAACATATAAATTCAATATCTGTTACTTAGGCATTCTCTGAGTTCTAATAACTGTGCACATTTACAAACAACTCTACCTTCTGCTCATCCTAACCAAAGCTAAAAAAATAAAGAACTTTCCAAAGTCAGAAATGGGTGTCAGATAACTCAAATCCACTCAAGTGTATTAGTGAAGCTTCGAAGAGCTTTAAAAGCAAACACATTAAACCATACTTTCTTGTGTTAACTCAGAGAAAAGCATCCTTGTCTTAAAAGTTTAAAAATAGCAAGTACTGACTTTGGCATACTATATCTAGAGACAACTCCAAAGTTTAACATTATTTTTATCCCTCTATGTTTTACTGAGGATGGAAACTTTTGTTCTTCTAATAGATCTGGGTCTGGGAAAACTAAATGGAAATCAGTTCCCAACCCAACTGCATTGTTGGTGGGAGTGTAAACTTGTTCAACCACTTTGGAAAGTAGTATGGAGGTTCCTCAAAAGACTCCACATAGAGCTCCCCTATGACCCAGCAAACCCACTTTTGGGCATTTACCCAACTGATCACAAACAAGACCATAATAAAACTACCAGCACAACTATGTTTATTTCAGCACTATTTACCATAGCTAAGATATGGAACCAACCCAGATGCCCCTCAGTAGATGAATGAATCAAGAAAATGTGATATATATGTGTGTTCGTGTGTATGTGTATGTATACATATATAGATACACAATGGAATTCTATGCCTCCATCAGAAAGAATGATATCACCTCATTTGTTAGGAAATGGAAAGACTTGGAAAAAATTATATTAAGTGAAGTAAGCCAAGCCCAAAGAAACATAGGTCCCATGGTTTCCCTTATTTGCAGTAACTAGTATATGTCTGGGACAAGTAGAAAAAAGGTCAAGGGGCTGGGAAGGTGGCTCAGTGGTAGAGCGCTTGCCTTGCATGCCTGAGGCCCTGGGTTCGATTCCTCAGCACCACATAAGCAAAAAGAAAAAAGCCGGAAGTGGTGCTGTGGCTCAAGTGGTAGAGCGCTAGCCTTGAGCTGAAGAGCTGAGGGACAACACCCAGGCCCAGAGTTCAGGCCCCACGACCGGACCAAAAAAAAAAGAAAAAAGGTCAAAAGCTATGTACATATGACCAGATAAGATGAAGTTAAGTGAAATGAACCCCAAGGTAGGGACACAAGTGGTTTTTTCTTTATTGCTATTGTTTCTAACATATTTATAAGGTACCATGTGATTTTTTTTTGTTGCTTTGTATGTCCCTCACCCATGGTATAACCCCTGTTTTCACTGTGTTTGATGTTGGTATAATTTGGGGAGGGGAAGGGAAAAAACAAAATGTTTAAATAAGGATACAGGTTGACCCATTGTAACAATGAGATGTACAAGACACTATGTTGAAAAACGAACTTTACAATCTAGGCAGGAGGGGGAGTGTAGATGTGGAGGTGGGAGGGAAGGGATGGGAAGGGAAAAACAAAGGAGGAGGCAACAATACTTGATAAGAAATGTACTCATTACCTTGCTCATGTAACTGTAACCCCTCTGTACAGTATTTTCACAGTAAAAAAACTTACATATAAAAAAAAGAAATACTTCCCAAAGGCGAAGATATAACAAACACCACTTGTCATCACCTTGCTTCTATCAGCTGCCCCTGCTGGGAAATCACAAGCTGATCACAGAAATAAAATGAACCAGCATTTTAGTGGTGACACTGAGACCTTTAAGTATTATTTGTTTAGATTAACTTGGAACCCTTGGATCCACAAAGTAAAATAGGATAACCAGAATATAAACAAATAGAGAAAAAAGATGAATTAATGACTGCCCAGTTAGGAACAATACAGTTTATTCTGGGAGCAGTTTAGGATTTACGTCAAGTCTTATCAATTAGTCTACTCTAAATATTGGGAACTTGCAAACATAGCAATAATAAATTGGCATGGATAGCTATAGTCTTTGGGTATATAAAGATTAGCTTCTTTTATTTTCTGAGCTGTGATATAAATAGGTGTTTTATTCATTCTTCATTATTTATTCATTCATTCTAAATACTGCAGTATACACAGTGAATTTTTAGACACACAATGCTCTTTGACTTACGATAGGACTAAATCCCAGTAAAGTCATCAGATAAATTAAATGGTTCAGGTGATAGTGAGTGCTCACTTAGCAACAATGAGACCATATGTTTCACCCCCACGCTCACCCCCACACTCCAAAATATATTTAGTACGTTTATGTTACCAAATATCATACCATAGCTTCACAACAGTATAGAGTATTCATTGTTCACCCTACTGATCATATGAATGCCTATACTCTGTAGCTTGCTACTAATTAACCCAGCAACACAAGAGAAAAATCACTCATTAGGAAAATGTCAGAATTCGAAGTATGGTCCATGTAGGCCATACCTTGGAATTTACCAAGGAAAACTGACAGTAGGGGTAGCAATCGAAAGAATTACTCATTTTAACCAAATATTTTACATTCATAATAGTTCATATTTTCTGTTTTTAAACATTTGAAAATACAGAGAAACATTTTCTCAAAATCCTTAACTCTTCTTTTCATCTTCTCCTTCCAAACATATCATCAATAGGGATTTTCTTGTAGACAGCAATGAAATGGACCGTCCTTTTCCTCAGTTTGGCAATCTGTGTTTTAAAGTGGTTATGTCTAGACCATTTACACTCAATGTGAATACTGATGTGGCTCAATTAAAATCTATCAGCTTAATTGTGTTCTGTGTATTCCATCTGTTCTTCATTCATGGAGAGGACTCAATGAGTAAATACAGACCTCCCTAGTGTTGGTAGTTCCTAAGGATCAGGACATTCACTTAATTCACAATCAACCTTTAACAATTTGTTATTTTAGCTGAATTTTTTTATGGCTAATGTGAGACTACCTTTTCCTCTGTGGAAGATGACCCTATGCTCAAGATGAGGCTTCTACCCTGCTATTTCAGATCTCTGAAGAGTACAAGAAAAGTCATAAATCTGTATATGGTCAGGCTTCTTGCTGTGAATCCTGCAGTGAATCCTGCAGATTTCTATACTTCATTCTCTTAGTTCAAGGTATTATAACAAACCAAAACAGACCAGGTGGGTTATAAACAATAGAAAGTTATTCCTTGCATTTCTGGAGCCTAGAAACCTGAAATTAGGGTATCAGCATGACTGAGACTGAGATTACAGACTCCTCGTGGTAGAAAGAATTCTCCCTAGGCTCTCTCTTTCTAAAGGTATTAATCTCATTCATACAGGCTCCATACTTCTGACCTGATCACCACCCAAAAGCCCCACTTCTAAACACCATCTGGAAGGGTTAAGTTTTAACACAGAAGTGTGGGTAGATACACATTCAGTCCATTGTACTCTCTCAAGTGAATTTTAAAGATGCTAATCATCAGAATGCAAAAATCACCTTTAATTCAAATATGAAAGTGGCGTGAATATAGTAAGACACTATTCCCAAACAGAAAATCCTGGAACAACAACAACAAAAAAAAGACTTGTTAACTATTTCTTTTAAACGATCAAAAAATTCACAGGTGGAGGTGTATGGAAGGTATTTTGAATGAAAGTAAGAAACACAATAGTAGATCAATGTAATTTGTAAAGAGATACAACTGGTTAGCATGGTAATAAAACAGAGCTAATATCGTGGGTCAGCTAAGAATTATCTTAAGATTTCCTGCCTCATGAAACATTTAAAAAATAGTCTTCCAGGCTAAAATATAAATGTCAGGCACAAAATTCAAGATAATTCCAGATGTTGTTTTGAAATTATGCTTTGATTTCTTCCAGATTACTCCCGGAAGCAAGGCGGCAGCTGCCAACCTGTGTCCTGGAGACGTGATCCTGGCGATTGATGGCTTTGGCACAGAGTCCATGACGCATGCTGACGCACAGGACAGAATTAAGGCAGCAGCCCATCAGCTGTGTCTCAAAATTGACAGGTGTTCTTGAATTTGTGGTGATAAAGCTTGTTAGGGGGACGAATCTGAACCAGCACTACAGATGATTTCCTCTTCCGAATGAGAGTTGTGGCAGGGCCTACACTTGTGATGGGCTCTTTGTATATATTGGCTACTTTATTCTGATCTTCACTACAGTCAGCTAACCTAGTAGATGTGGATTGGATAAGCCAATTTGAAATACAATTTTTTGCAATGTCAAAATAATCAAAGAGGCCAAATGAAATGTTTCTCCAGATAGTAGTCCAGTTGCTTAATTATAAAAATAGACATTGGCCCTAAAAACTCGGAAGAAAATGGCTCATTGCCCTGCTCTTTTCACGGTAGCATAGAATGAAATGGTGGCATAGAATGTAGAGATGCAACTAAAAGAATCTCTTGATGCACCAAAATGTCATCATGTTAAAACTGGTGGTTAATATTGTATGCTGTTTGATGGGGGAGAAGTTTGTTTTGGTTTGTTTTGTTTGTGCCCATTTTAAGTCTTGATCTCAGGCCCTAGGTGCCTTCTCTGAGCTTTTTTGCTCAAGGCTAGTACTCTACCACTTGAGCCAAAGCTCCATTTCTGGCTTTTTGGTGATTACTTAGAGATAAGAGACTCACAGACTTTCCTGCCCCACTTTGCTCAGGTCTGAGTAGCCTCCTGAGTAGCTAGGATTACAGGTGTGATCCACTGGCATCCAGCCTGTTTTCTGTTTTGTAGAGATTTCAAACAAAAGAATATTATAAAGTGGGAAATACGTGTGCATATGGATGTTAAATACTGAGATATTTCTGATTCTGTCCCCCTTCCAATAAGATATTCTTAACAGAACCCCAGTTGGAATCTCAGCTATTGGTTTTCATGGTTATCTGTGCATGATTACATTGTTGATGCAATAGTCACACATGTTTGAGGTAGAAAAATCTCAATCACTTAGCTACTCTACCAGTGGCCTGTGAAATAATAGATTCTGTTCCTATGTCTTCATAATATTGTACCTCTCCTAAGTACCCAGTCCCTTAGAAGACACTGGGTCTCAGATGCTCAAGAAGAGTTAAACACAGCTTAGTTCTTTGATGTCAGTAGTAAATCCATCTGGCCAGCCCCTCTCTGTTTTCTATGATGCCTTGAGTAGAATAGAGGGGCTGAGGGGAGACATAGTCTACCTCCTACTATCTTTAAGATATGCCTTCAGAACTTCCCTCTTCTGTTGATTCCTACATGTATTGGGAATCCTGCTTTCTCTAGATATCACACACTGCACTACAACTGGCCCTGATCTATTCAAGATTCCCTAAAAGGAATCTAATTGAATGGGAAAATAAAAATTAGTAAGCAAAAATTTTCTTCTTGATTTACTTATTAAGGGCTGTTAGTGTCCTCAAAAATCACAATGGAAATTAAGGGATACTAAACCTAGAAGTTCTACTCGAATTGGACATTTACAAACTTTGTTTGATTTTCAGGGCAGAAACACGCTTATGGTCTCCACAGGTATCAGAAGATGGAAAAGCTCATCCTTTCAAAATCAACTTAGAAGCAGAACCACAGGTATGAATTTTATCATAAATGATACACACTCACAGTATATTTCCTTTCCAATGCTGGGGATGCAGCAGAGAGGGGACAATACAAATGCAAACATTGGAACAAGTCATCTAATGAAGTAGTGATCTATCTTTACTCTCTAAAATTAATCTATTATGATCCATACTTTCTTAGATCAAGAAAAAAAGGCAATAGGCACGGTGACTCATTCATGTAATCCCAGCTACTTGAAGAGGTGGAGATGAGGAAGACTGCACTTTCAGACAAAAAGATGTACAATTCTCATTTCAGTCAATAAACAGGACATGATGGAACACGCATATATCCCAGCTATGTGGGAAGTCAGAGGTAGGAAGTTCGAGATCCAGGATAAGCCAGGATCCAGGCAAAAACACAAAATCTTATCCAAAAACAAAACTAAAACCAAAAAACGAGTGAGAGGGTGTTGGTTCAAATGGCATAGTGCCTGTCTAGAGAACATGAGGCCTTGAGTTCAAACTACCATTCAAACCACAGAGACAGAGGCAGGAAAAGGGAAAGTAAACCTAGGTGAATAGTTTGATAAAAATAAGTATATTTCATAAGGAAGAATTTGGCTGGCTCTACATAGAGTTCACTTTTTCACTTCTTATAATGGACTTAGGCCAAATGAGGTAATCTATGAAGTTTATGCTATTAACACAAAACAAAATAGGCTTTACATTTGTAACAGGTGTCTCTGATCTTATTCTTATTTCAAACTTCACTGCTTTAAGGTTCTCACAGAGATCTTATTTTTACATCTTTCTTTAGTTACCAGTTCTGGAATTATATAATTAAATTTATCTTAGAAAAAGGATTTAAATTATGTTATCATGTACCTATTTAGCCAGTGTTACAAAACAGAGGATTTTTCCTTGATGAAACTCTATGTCACGAGCTAATAATCTGATGCTTATCTGATTATGTCTACTTTCAGAAAGTCCAAATCGACTGAAATTAAATCAAACTTCAATTGTGATATACTGAAAAATCTAATTAAGAACAGGATTTAGGAAGCTCTACTCAGAAACTCACAAGGCTTAAAGTGAATTCAATATCCCTTTTAAACAAGCTCTCCTATAAAATGGCTAGATATTTGAGCATGTCCTTTTTCTATATATCTAATGAGGATGAGCTGAAAGCATATTTGTCACTTATACTTCAGTAGTGGACTCCCTTTCCGGATCATTACCCCCTGAGTTTATCTTCCATGCCTTTCATTTGCATCTGTAAGCCTCTTCTTCCTTCTGGATGACACAGAGGTAGCACTACATAAATATAAGTATCTCAGAGGGCTTCTCAAAGATTTAAATAAATCAGTATAAGCAAAGAACTTGGCACATGCAATTGTTCATAGTCAAATAAGTAGTGTCTGTCACCATTAGTTAGATTCGCCATCCAGTTTCAGACTGTGAGCAGAAAGCCTCGTTGGCTTTCTTGATAGTGAGGTAGAAAAGTGCCTAAGTGAAAGAGATTCCTGTTCTCATTATGACTATTTTAGCTATTTTATAATAATGGTGGCTTTCTTCATTGTTATCATGAAAGATATACTTACGGGATCAAAGCCTTATTTTTGGTTAAAATATAACACTTCCCCAGGAGAAACATCTTATGTGCTCTTTAGAGGGAGTTTACAAGTTTCTTATCCTAGCATTTTTTTTCTATTGTGATACTCAGGGTCTTGTGCTCTTTATTCAGCTTTTTCATTCACGTCCAAATCTCTACCATTTGGGCCATACCTTCAGTACACATTTCTACTGGTTAATTGGAGGTATTTCTTATGGACATTTCTTCCTGAGTTGGCTTTCAACTATGAAACTCAGGTCTCAACCTCCTGAGTAACTAAGATTATGGGTAAGTTGCAAGTATGAGCTACCAAGGCCTGGAAAGAGGGAGGAAAGGAAAAAGGAAGGAGGAAAGGAGGGAGGGAGAGAGGGAAGGGAACAAGAAATTTAAGTGCCTTATGCACACATTCATTTGTTGACCAATTCTACATTTCTTTTTCCATATATGGCACACAACCAAAATTGTACAGCACCCTTTTGGAAATTGTTTCTCCTAATTTCTTAAGCCCTGTTTCATCATAGGACCAAGTAGTAGACAGACTGACCAATGCCCCAGAAATCCTCAATCACTGGTCTGTTCTCCCATTCTGGCATGTAGGTAATCCAGTGACCATTTATTAAAGCACAGCTATTTATTAAAGCTTAGGCTACTATGAGAGTCTGTGCTTTGCTAATATCTCTCCAGAATTGGAGATTAAGAGTAACTCCTCTTTGGCTAATCTGTTAGCATTCATTTTTAACTTTTCTAAGAATTGGATTTTCAGGCCTAATCCTGATCTTAAATACACTGGTCTCTCTTTTCAATCATGTATTGGTCCATATGTCCTGCATTTTGAGGTTAGAAACATGAATATTTATGACCCTACAAATGACAAAAAAGGAAATGAGATTTCTTTTCGTTGAAGGTGAAGATTAGGTTAAGAACGAAAGAAGCCAGTCAGAAGGAGCCTTTAAAAATTCCACTAGCTTGAGTCATGACTAATTCTTCCTGGCATCCTCTCCAAGAGGCCAGTGTTTGAAGGGCTCAGAGATAAGAACAATTTCAGCCCTTTTCTTATTGGACCAAAGTATTTCTATTCCTTATGGAGACTCTTCGGCCAGATTCCTTCATGACCATCTCATATAATGTAGTACTTCAGAACCAGCATTTCCGAAAACAGAATGTTCTGAGAACATAGAGGAATTTTCTTTGAACAAAGTACACACTTGTACCTCCTTGTACAACTATTTGAAGATAATAAAAATAATTAAAAAGAACTAAAAAGAAAATGTTAGATCTTTTTTTTAATTATTACACATTTGTGACCTGTGCAATATATATAATCAACTAGAAAAAAACTAAGTTATGGTTATTTGGGGTTTTTGTAAGCAATACAAAGTTAAGCAAAGAGATTTCTTTTGATAAAAACTCTGCAAATATAGCAGTCCTTTGAACAACAGAGGCCTGTTTGAGAAATAAATAGATTAGTAGTAAAATGTTGGTGATCAATACAATGTTTCTCTACCCAAGTCACACTTCGATCAAAAGTGACTTTTGCTATTAGAATAAAATATTCACACTAGTGGCTCATACCTGTAATCCTAGCTACTCAGGAAGCTAAGATTTGAGGATCACAGTTCAAAGCCAATCCAGGCAGGAAAGTCTGTGATACTTTCTCTCCAATTAACTACCAAAAGGCCATAGGTCAGGCTATGGCTCAAACAACAGAACACTAGCCTTGAGCAAAAAAGCCCAGGGATAGTGTCTAGGACCTGAGTTCAAGCCCCAGTACCAGAAATAAAAATAAATAAATAAATAATATATATACATATATATGTATTATTTCCTGCCATCTATGGTCCAACCTTAAGTAATAATATGTTAATGGATATATTTTTCTCTATCAATAAGTTTAGGCCTGGACTTTTCGATAAACAGTTATAGTAACAATTGATATCAAATTTTAATACCTAGATTTTCTTTTTCTCTGTGCTGTTGCTAAAGAGTTAACTTTGTGTTTTTATAGATTTAACTTGAATTGTAGCTCAAAAAAGACATTAGAAGTTGTTTAGATCATTTCTCAACAACTGAATAAATTCCTTTCATACAATCTTGTCGGTCTATGCCTTTTCCTAAGCAAAGCATTGCTCTAGAATAAGGGTATATTTGTTTTCAGATAAACTGTTTTGTCTATTTTAGTTTAATGGCAATTGGATGACTCAAAAGTATAAGGTGGCTATCACAGTAGGGAAATGCCTTTCAGAAACAAAAATGGTTGCACAGGAAGAAAGCTGTCTCCATTTCTGTATACACGACTGACTCCTCCTCACAGTTTATAATAAAGACATAACTTACTTGGGCAGTCACAATTTATTTTTGTAAAATCAACTTCAACTTACAATGTTTTCAAAAGTAGAAGGCAGCCTACACAGAACAAATTTCATAATCACCATTTCCCCAGACTTTTTCCCAGTGAGCTATGGGAACACTTGAAACACATCACTGGAGAAAATAAAATGTTTTTAAGGGTGACTTTATTTTGCATTTGAATAGTGAGCATGCATAGCAAGGGTGTTCATAAGTTTCAAGCCTGATGAAATACAAAATGTCTTCACTGGGCCTTCATCAAATAAATGTTCATTCACAGCTTTGTTTCTCTTATTTTCCTGCCCTTTTTATGTGAAAATATAAGCCACAGGAAAATAAGAGAAAAAATGAATTGTATGGGGAAAACTTACTCTTTCGGATGGAGTTGGTAATAAATCATCATCTATGCGCAACTTCTTCACGTAGGAAAAATTGAAGCTGAACTGTCTGTGAGTGTTGTCATTCCTAAGGTCATTTCAAAGACTGGGGAAATAGACAATCAGGACCCACATTCTCCCAGTGTTACCAGAGCTCCATCAAATTCACTAGTTTTCACTCTGGCAGCCTCACCATTTCATTCTTTGAAAATATTATTACTTACTATAAGCTCCTAATATTCAAAATAATCATTTTAACTTGAATGATTACTTTTTGAAACCCTGAGAGAGAATATTATTTGATGATTTTTTTTTTGTCAATCTGGATAGAATAAACAAGAGCTAGATGTTCTTAGCTGCTATATAATGGGTTTTTTTTTTAAAAAAAAAAAAAAAAGGGTTGTACATGCTTTTCCAAGAAAAGCAAAAAGGAATGAAAGTAGAACAGCAAACTTCTAATGGGTTTTGTCCTTTCATTCTGTGTGACATTGCTTCCTAGTACCATACTTTTCAGGTCCTTGTTTACCTTTGGTGCATACAACTCACTGCGCTTGGAAGAATGACTCTAGAAGCCAATAAACTAATGCTTTGCAAAGCCTAAATAAAAATGTTTTAAGCCTGTTTTACAAAGACTTCTTTTCTGTGACCTGAGTTCAAAATAGAGTTTAAAAACAAACAACATATTACTCAGTTGTGACATTGGTAATGTATATAACCAAAACTAAAAATGGTAAAGAGAAAGCTTGGAGCCAATTAACATATGTGCTATTATTTAGAAGTCTAGTAGAAATTACTAATGCACAAATGTTGCAGAGAACTTGCTTCATTTACAGAACAATCACTATCCATATTTGGTCATTATTTCAAGGCAAAGATAAAAGCAGAGATTTTTTTTCCAGTGAAGATGCTGAGGAAACTAATTATTGTCAATTTAATTGTTTACCATGATTTTTAATCATACTTTGTTAAGAAAAAAAAACTAAGCTTCACGAAAACCTCGAGTGGTTCTTTCCTTCATGATTCACACTTTAATTAGCCTGAAAAATTTTATAATCCACCACAAATATATTAGGCGATTAGCCTCCTGTCTTCTTTCATACCAGAAATAGTTACAAAGCTCTAAATCGTGGCCATTTCTATTACTTACAATTATTTCCAGTTCACTTTTTTCAGGCTCTACTAATAGCTAATCAAAATGTTTAAGATAAAAGAGAGCCAATGCAAATTCATGATTAAGCAGCTAAAACAATCACACTGTGCCACTATGTGGATGTTGGACTGCACATATTTTCTTCTGTTCTGTAATTCAAAGCTGGAACATTTCTACAGTTCCAGATGGTTGTTACAGTCAGTCTGCTGCCTAACAGAAATGGCAATAATGCTTCATGCCAGCACCTCTGCACTGAGACACTCTCCTGGAGACAGAATCATAGGATTGACTGTTTGTGGAACTGAACTGGTTCACATCTAGTTTAGTATTCCCTGCTGGTTTCTTCTGTTGTATAGAATAGAAAAGTAAGATTTAATACCTTTACAAATTATACATGTGTTCCAAACTCAAAAGTATTATTCCTATGGTAAAAATATAAATATAGGTTTCCAATTATTCTAGTATATTTCAAATTCAGTGTCTAAGACTCTGTGATCCTGTGTCCCAAGAAACAAAGTAAAAATCCTCTTCAACTCATACATGCTGCTGTGGCTCACTTTCTGACATGAGCCCAGCATTCCTGCAGAGGAAGGTAACCCCAAGACCTTGTGCTAAGCAAGTATGAATGGGGCCCTGGGTTCAATCCCCAGCACTACACACACACACACACACAAAGAAGATATTAATAGAATAAAAAGATTCATGATTTCTAAATAAGAAAAAGTTAAGTCTATTAATAGTTTTTTAAAAAGCACAGTTCTTACGCAAACTTTCAGTATTCAAATAAGTCATTAGAAATAAGTGGATGAACAAGGCAGAAGCTGACTGGCAAGAGATACAGTGTTTAGATATGCTATAATATCTGTACAGATGGCCCATCCCTATGCATGGTAAGATATCGCTCGCATGTAATTTTCAGAGGGATGGTAGAAAGATGTCTCCCTAACTCTTCCTGTAACCATTCTATCCATCCCAAAGCAAGTAAAGATGCCTTCATTAACAACAGCAATGCCTTTAGTCTTGCTCACTAATGGCTTTGTGTGCATTCTGTGGCTGTGTGTTTTGTCTGCCATGTACAGGAATTCAAACCCATTGGTACTGCACACAACAGAAGGGCCCAGCCTTTTGTTGCAGCCGCAAACATTGATGACAAAAGACAGGTAGTGAGCGCTTCCTATAACTCGCCAATTGGGCTCTATTCAACCAGCAATATCCAAGATGCCCTGCACGGACAGCTGCGAGGTCTCATTCCTAGTTCTCCTCAAAAGTAAGTACTGGGTTCTTAGTTGTCGTCACGATGTTCTTGACAGTGATAAAATGTTTTGCCTTCCTTCCAAAAGTCCAACTCTTGTGGTTTTCTTTTTGCTTTCCTAAAAGCACTAGAGGGTTGTTTTATTATTGTTGTTATTTTTAAAGACCACTTTTAGAGCCCATTTGCCAGTTTCTAAACATTGAGTGATCAGACAGGGAAGAAATGTCTCTAGGTCCATCATTAAGCTCATATTGCTCAATATTTGGTGGTAAATAATTCTCTGTAGACAATTATCATTCACCCGATCTTACCCAAAATAGATCTTCCACTGAGGGACTTTTTTTAACCCTTTGTTTTTACAGGACATGAACTACTTTGAACACAAGCACAATATTCGGCCCAAACCTTTCATAATCCCAGGCCGTAGCAGGTCATAAACTGAGATTGTGAAGTTTGAAGTGCATGCTCTTTTAAACAATTCTTACTAATCACAAAGAAAAGTAACTGTTAGGTGCTTGGAGTGACTTTTCTCTTTGTAAGGCTTATGTCAGAAGCAAAAAGAAACAAACTCACTCAGCAGAGAAGAGTAGCCGAATTGCTTCCTTATAAGAGTAACTATTGGCAGGATGACAGATGTAATCTTAGGCAGGCCTCATCGTGTGTATTTATAACTAGTGTCCCTATCCAGAACATGGTGATATTTGAATCTGGGAGACTAGTTTGCCTCAGGTCAGGAAAGCCTAGCCGACAGGAACAGAAAATGGAAACTAGCCCCTGGTCAGAATTAGGGAGCTAATCTGGCTGGGGTTGCTTTATCTGTTTGACAGACACTGGTCATCCCACCGCAATACTTCTCAAAGATTCTTCAAATCTTACTCCTTCTAGCCCTTAGTTAAAAAGAAATGTTCAGGGCTAAGCATGATAGTGAATGCCTATAATCCTAGCTACTCAGGAGATAGAGAAAGGAATATAATGGTGTGAGGCCAGCTCTGGCAAAGTTAGCACAAGACCCTATCTAAAAACAAACTAAGGGCCTGGGAAGGTGGCTCAGTGGTAGAGCACTTGCCTTGAATGCATGAGGCCCTGGGTTCAATTCCTCAGTACCACATAAGCAGAAAAAGTTGGAAGTGGCACTGTGGCTCAAGTGGTAGAGCGCTAGCCTTGAGCTGAAGAGCTGAGAGACAGTGCCCAGGCCCAGAGTTCAGGCCCCATGAATGACAAAAAAAAAAAAAAAAAACTAAAAGTAAAAGGACTGGGGAAAGACACATTGATGGATATTTGCTTATCGATAATAGTGATAATAATTATTATTATTGCTATTATTATTATTAATTTTCATTCTCATGGAAACTTGCAAAGAAAGAAACGCCCCTGGAAAAGGAACTTTTTCCACCTGGGTGAAACAAGCATAAGGTAAGACTAGAGAGAGAGGTTTCTGATTCTCATAGCCAATCCATTATTCCAAGACAAATAATCATGAGCAAGATGTAAATTCTTACCTGTCAGTCAGGGAAACTGACCAGCTCCAGCTACTCCTTTTCAAGTGTCTTCTCCAGAAATGGAGCTTCAACATATGGGAAAAGAAACTAAAATCTGAAAAAGTAACATCAGAAAATCTCACACTCATTGTTCTGACTCAACCCAACTAGTCAGCAAGGAGGAGAGGAATCTGCGGTTAGACTGAGGTCATCTTTGGGTTAAGAACATTGAATAATGACTTACATACAAATTGGGGGGGGAAGAGACATAGGTGGATTGATCTCATAATTTATTTAATCCTTCTGTTCTTCAAAAATAATTTAAGATGCCAGGGCTGGTGGCTCACTCCTGTAATCCTAGCTACTCAAAAGGCTGAGATCTGAGGATTGCAGTTCAAAGCCAGCGAAAGCTGAATAGTCCCAATGACTCTTACCTCCAGAGGTAAGAGTTGGCACTGTGACTGAAAGTGGTAGAGTGCCAAACTTGAACAGAAGAACTCAGAGACAGCACTCAGGACCTGAGTTCAAGCCCCATGACCAACAAAATTAAGTGCTTTTAAGTGAGACATCTACTCACCAGCTTTTCAAAATGCTCGTCGCTATTAGGTGTATGCTATTAGCACCTGTAGACACTGGACTTGCTTCTTCTGCAAGTGGTAAATTGTCACTTAATTCGTGACTGCCAAATACAAACCTTTCAATCAGCTAGAAGCAGGTGCCAAAAACACCTCAAAACAAAGCAGTTTTATTATTTCAGCCCCAGAAAGGAAATCTGGAGTAGAAGAGAAGGAAGAAAGTGTTAAGAAGGTGATGACTACCAAAGACAGCTTTCCTCCTAGAAAAAGCCCCATACCAGCCCAGGACTTGTCTGACACCTAGAAATGAAGCTGGAACAGAATAATAAATGCTCAGCAAATGTGCTTCATGCAGGCAACTTGGGGCCATCCCGTATGACCTCTTTGTTCCTGATTCCCATTCTGTTTCCACTGCATCATTTCCTTGGTTTTGTATTTTCAATATCTTCTCTACACTATCACTCCTTCAGTAATAACAACATCATATTAGAAGCTTAAATGCTATTTCACTGTAAAGTAAGTATAAATACAATTTCCAAAGAAGCACAATGAAATTAATATACTTCATTTTCTGAGTTACCATGACTTTAAGTCTACTAATTCTGGCTATATGGCTTTCCTAAAGACATACAACAAATTTTATTTAAAAAAAAAGACCTAGTTACATAATCCTTTTATATATCTTTTTAATTTTACTATAATGATAAGGACAGGACATTCATGAGTTTATCATTTAAAGCTATCTTTAATAGAGCTGAATGGCCAGGCATCAGAGGTTCACACTTGTAATCCTACCTACTCAGTAGGTGAGAATCATGGTTCAAAGCCAACCCCAGGCAGGAAAGTCCATGACTCTTATCTCCAATACACTGCTCAAAAATAGCCAGAAGTGGTTTTGTGGCTCAAGTGACAGAATGCTAGGCTTAGGGACAGTGCCCAGGCCCTGAGTTCAAGCCACAGGACCAGGAAATATATATAGCTGAATTTTGGAGAGAGGAGGAAAGGAACAAGAATGAGATTTGTTTTTAAAAAAAAAAATAGGTGTCAAAACACAAATGTTAAACATTCCTCTCATCCTTCCCTCACCCTGAACCCCCTTTACCCTGTGCTGGAGGTTCTGAACTTTTTCTTTTTTTTCAACAATTCATCAAGGCAAAATTTTGAGGGGCAATGTTCCAAACTACTAGTACACTATTGATGCACAACTTATTTAATCAGAGTCAAATTGAATTGCTAAACTTGTAATAGGCCAACTTCCCTAGAAATTACTGCCCTCTCTGGAACAAACCTGTGATTTAAGCTATATAGCTAATCGAACTGGATAACTCAACACAATTTGTTTTTAATCCTCTCAGTGAGCCAGGGAAAGTGATGTACACTTGTAATCCCAGCCATTCAGAGATAGTAGGAACTTAAATTCAAGGCTAACCCAAGAAAAGTTAACAAGATGCTACCTCAGAAACAAATTCCAAAACATCAAGGCAGGGGATATGGTTCAAGAGGCAGAGTACTTACCATTCACAAAACTCTAGGTTCAAGTTAACTATTGAGATAGAGGAGAGAGAGAGAAAAAGAGAGAGAGAGAGAGAGTTTCCTTTCATGAATGTAGGTAGCTTAGGGTGTAGCTCAGTGGTAGAGTGGGTGTTTAACATGCATGAGGCCCTGTGTTCAATCCACAGTGCAAAATTAAACAGACAACAAGCATGCAGGAAATTGTTCAGCTATGATTGGCTTTCTATCCAATTCCATAAAGAACATGAAATCTCCTTAGCTTTTAACTTGCATGCCTGGCCTTTATAATCTTTTACCTAAAGCCTTATAGTTTGTCTTAAATGAAATGAGAAATGCATGGAGATGTATGTGTGTTTCCAAATGTTTACATAAAATACGTATGTGTAGAGGAAATATGTCTTGGCCCTAAGATATAGTCCAGTATTCTGAGACAAACTTATTTCTCCCACAGTCATTCATTTTAAAGTGATTTCTTGACTGTTTCTCATTCCTGTATTTAGCTACAGAACACCTTTCGAAAGTGTATCCTTCACACAATGAAATTATAAAACATTTCAATTGTTGGAATTAAATATTTACAATATATTATATTTATACTATATAATGTACAATAAACATCAATACGTACGTACAATATAACAATTACAATATATTTGCAAAGTAAATTGCCAAATTATTGTCAATTATTATTTGAATGAAGGTTGAACAAATTGCCAATTATTATTAGAATAAAGGTTAATTATTCATGAAACTTTTAGCCTAAATCTTCTATTAGATCTTCCAGTTGCATATTTGTTTGTTATTTGTGAAGAATTATTCATGAGTCTTCTAATTTTAAAAACTATAGTTCAGAAACTGAAAGGAGTGTACAGCAATGTAATTTCTTCTGTTATTCATTCATATTATTGTCAGGTAGAGAATTATTTGATCTAGTTTTAGAAAGTGAAGCTAGCTGTATGTTTTTACTCTATATGCCATTCTATCTATATATACATATATATAACCATCAACTTACAAATCAAGTAAAATAGAACCAACAAATGTAATATCACCTTGTGCTTTTTAATTTTATTAAACTTTCTCCAATTGTGAATTTTTCTAACATTGTATCGAAGGCACATTCTAGCCAGTGTTTCAGTTTGCTACAATTCACCTCTTACTTTTTGTCTTCAATTCCTGTAACCTCTGTCTTGTTCTCCATGTTCCATTCTGTATCTCCTGTCTGTGTCACGTGGTCATTAACACAGTGGATGCAGTACTCCTTCCGGTATTGATGGTGGCAGTGGACGTAGCACCCCTTCTTCTGTCAGTACCCTAAGTTCTATTTGCCCTGGTGACTTGAAAGTTGCTGCTAAGATGGCCCCTAACATTCCCTTGGAAATGGACCTTCCCGGTGTGAAGATTGTTCATGCTCAGTTTAATACACCTATGCAGTTGTACTCAGATGACAATATTATGGAAACCCTTCAGGGTCAGGTCTCCACAGCTCTAGGGGAAACACCTTCAATGAGGTAATATGACTCTTTTGGAACCCTTGGCATATTAACTAAACTCGTGGGTGATATCATCTTTAATGGTGTCTGGTTACATTGTTTTAATAGAGAGAAAGATACGTGGAAAAACTTTAAAGAAATGCTACTAAGAAATTATTGTAAACACCTAGAATTGAGAGTAAAGATGATTTGAGGAATCTTTAAGTAATAAATGTGGCCAGAAGCAATGAAATGAAATCATATAAGAATCTAATAATGGGTGTGTCTTTTGAACGCTACAGTGGACAAGTACTGATTTAGTACTTCTCAAAAATAGTTTATACAAAAGTCTTACTTACCACTTGCTAAACGTGATTGCAATCTAGAATCCCCTAAACAGAGGGTCTGTCTCCTGTGGGTCAGAAATTAGGAGAGGGGTAGAGACTAGAGAATGTTTATAAGATGCGACTTCTTTCCCTAATGTCAGAGGACTGAGAGGTAATAATTCTTCTACTTAAAACGTTTGCCTTGTGATTATGTTTGATAGGTGAAAAGCTCACGTTTTCATTTTGACTAATTTTTTTTCATTATGAGTATTTGTTGCCAGTATTTTTTGCCACCAAGCTTTTCTCAAAATGATTTATTATGAGATTATTACTTCTTTCAATATTGCAAAGTCACTTTTTATAAATGATTGTGTGTGCTATGTAACAATTTCCCCAAAATGACTCAGGGTGAATACAGCAGGCTAATAATAGACTATGTCATTTTGCAACCAGTTTCTTGTATATAAAGATGCTTATTTTCAGATATGCACAATTAAAATATGTGAAGTTAAAACCATATTCTCTAGATAATATTTATTGCCTGACAAATGATACTATGGTGGCATTTTTAATTATCATGACTCTATTTGTAAATATAAAATTAAAACAAAGCAGCTGTCATTGTAAATAAAATTAAAGTGCTTACTGTAAATACATTATTTAAACAGTTTGACTGATGCACAGAAAAAAGTTTCCACATTAGATGTTTTTCAACTCTGATAAGTCAGTTTTACCAATTTACAAGCGAGATGATAGCATAATCTTAGTTTAATAACAAAATAAATCTGAATGTTATTACAACCTTTATGACTGTGAACGATCCAGTTGGATTCATTCCCAATCTATATCTGGATTGTCATCATTTTTCTGAGAAAAGTTACTTTTGTTCATATGTGTAATGTTATACATCCATACACAGACTTGCTTTGTAAAATTGTTGAGCCCTAACAGTCACGTTTGCCCTCCAAAATGTTTTGGCTAGACAGAAAAGTGTGGAGGTGACTCCAAAGTTGTTGCTTTATGATGCTTTTGAAGTAACCCATCGTATCTTCCATTAGAGTAGAGGTTTGCTGGAAGAAAACCCCTGCCCAGCTGTAGACAGCGTGCTGATGCTTGGGGTGTCTGCTATCTCTCAGATCTCCTAATGGTGCCTCACCTTGAGTCCTTGTGTTTCAGTGAACCCACAGCTTCGGTGCCCCCTCAATCAGATGTGTACCGGATGCTCCATGACAACCGAGATGAACCTACCCAGCCGCGCCAATCCGGCTCCTTCAGGGTTCTCCAGGAGTTAGTGAATGACGGTGCAGGTGAGCAGCCATTAGCATCTGCTAAAACGTTCTGATCCCGATGTTACTAGGAGGGCATGGGAGGGAGGGACAGCTACGCACTGAAGTAGAAGGCTCCACGTGATTTCTTCATGGGCCAGCAAGGGCACCTGTGCTAAGGACTTGGGCAATGTCTTGTTTAGGAAAAGTTGGCAGGACATGTGCAGAGAGCCACAAAATGAAGCCAGTCATTCACAAAAATATAGTTGAAAGCAGCAGAGATACATTCCATCCATGGTAGTCGTGGGCTAGCTCAGATTGGGTATCATAAGGTTCCATTTTAAACAAATATGCTGTAACTTCTCAGCTTCTCCTCATCCTTTAGGCTATCATCCATGTTCAAGGAAAAGTAAATAAATCATAGTGATCCCTGACTGATTCAAACCCCAATACCATCAAAAATTAATTCTAATAGTGAGCCTTTACTGTATTCTGCATTGTGTGAAATACCTGGCATACATTCTCATTAACAGTCACAAAAGTCAATAAGGGAGCAGTTATTATGTTCCCTAGTTAACAAATAAGACACAGGCATGGGGAAGATGGACTTGTGCAAGGCCACACAGACAGTAAGCTGGACTGCTTGCCGCTCCTGCCCTCCTCTGGGCTTATACTTCAACCGATGCTTTCATATCCCAGAAGATACATACTTTTCTATAAAAGCCACAAAAACAGGCTGCGAATGTGGCTTAGTGGTAGAGTGCTTGCCTAGCATGCATGAAGCCCTGGGTTCAATCCCTCAGTACCACATCAACAGAAAAGCCTGGAAGTGGTGTTGTGGCACAAGTGGTAGAGAACTAGCCTTGCACCAAAAAAAAATCTCGGGGACAGTATCCAGGCTCATGAGTTCAAGCCCCAAGACTGACAAAAATACACAATGCCCTATCAGGATAGGTTCTAACAAAAAAAAATGGGAATGAATGTTGGTAAGGATGTGGAGCTAAGGGGAATTTTTGTGCCTTCCTGGTGCAAATGCACAGCCATCGTGGAAAACAGAATGATGGTTCTTCAAAAAAGTTAAACATCAAATTCACAGATGATCTGGCATTCCACACCTAGATATGCACACAAAAGAAAAAAAGATAGGTATTTGTACACCAATGTTTACATTATTCATAAGAACTAAAGAGGGCAACAAAACTCAAATGTTTATTGACAGATGATACCTAACATATAATATACATACATCTGATAGAATATTATTCAGCCTTCAAAAGTGATGATTGCTGATACATGCTGCAACATGGCAGATCCTTGAAAACATTATGCTAATGGAGAAGCCAGACATGAAGGATGAGATTCTCTGATTCTACTTACATGAGATGTCTAGAATACACTAATTCAGAGTGACAGGAAATCCAATAGCAGCTGCCAGGGGCTGTGAGGAGGAGGGATGGAGAAAGTTTTTGGCTAGGGATGTTGGGAAATTCTGGGAAAGGATACTAGTGGTTTTCCACATTGTGGATGGACTTAATGACACTGACCTGCACCTTTAAAAGTGGTTAAAACTCTCCATTCTCTGTTACCCATGATCTTCATAAGAAAGATGACTTCTGTAGATCTGAGCATTTAAAACAGCTCCCTCCAATAACACCGTCTGGTTACGGGTTCCATTTTGAAAGCTCTCTTGCAAGAACCAAGTCTCCTCCCCATCCCTCTCCTTCTAAAATGGCAGTGCAGGTGCAGGAATCCTCAGACTAAGGATTCCTTAGTCTAAAGTGCATGAGGTAAAGTAGAGGCAAAGACCACGCAGGAGCCAGCTGCTTCTTTCCATAAATAGAAACACTTTTGCCTTTCAGATGACCGTCCTGCTGGGACCCGAAGTGTGAGAGCTCCCGTTACCAAACCCCACGGAGGTGCTGGCAGTGCCCCGAGGATGCCCCTCTGTGATAAGTGCGGGAGTGGCATTGTGTACGTCTCATTTTTAACGTTAAGACCTTATACAGGAAAGACAATTGTGAAAAAGTTCAATTTCAACTCCTTGACTTTAATTACCTGTATAATATGTTGACGGTTGCTTAGCTGTAATGCCAGATTGGCATATAATATGAATCAAATTTTGGCTTTACTTTCAGAAATACTCTTGAAAAATAAGTGTACCTGCTGGGCACCCTAGCAACTCAGGAAAATGAGATTTTGAGAATCATGGTTCAAATCCAGCCTAGGCAGCAAAGCCTGCTGGAGGCATGGTTCAAGTGGTAGAGTACCAGCCAAGCAAACTGAGAAAGCTCAAGGCCATGAGTTCAAATTCCAGTACCAAAGAAAGGTCCAAATGTGTGTGTAAAAATAATATCAAGAACCATGGTTGCACTTTTAAAAACTCTCTTTTTGTTAGTGAATAATCTTTGAGCATCCTTTCTGTATAGATCCAAGGAAGCATATAAACTGGTCTTCAGGTTTTTCCCTGACACAAACTATCTTTACCTGATTTCTTAAATGAGACAGCAATTTAAAAAATAAGTTTAAGGCATACATTCATGTCCCATTCCAAGGGACTTCATGCTTAAAAGCCACACTTGCTAATTCAGATCTCTAATTGAACAAAATTATTTTCATCTCTCCATTTCATGTGTCCCACATGATTGCATCCACCTTTTATCTGCTCCCCTCATGAGCTTAGGCAGCATTTGTCCTCAGCAGGAAATATCTGTCCTGTTATCTAAAGTACATGTAAGAGGGCAATGGAGGATGAGCCTGACTAGAACCAGAAAAGGAATTGGGGACCAAAAGGAAAATATGGCAACCAGGCATGGTGAGGTGAGGCATGCTTGTAATCCCAGCTACTCAGGAGAAGGAAGAGGCAAGAGACCAGGGAATCAGCAATTATGAATCACGAATTAAGGGGGAAATTACCCAAATCTTATCTCAGAAGCAGAATACAAAAGAACTGGGGGCATGGCTCAAGTGATAGGGGCTGTAGACAACCTACAACTTTGGTCCAAGTCAGAATCATTTGCAGGATGTGTGTGACATACCTCTCCCTCTTCTTTTTTTTTTTTTTTGTCCTGGGGTTTGAACTCAGGACCTGGGCACTGTCTAAAGCTTCTTTTGCTCAAGGCCAGTGCTCTACCACTTAAGCCATAGCTCCACTCCTGGATTTTTCTGAGTAGTTTATTGAAGAAGAGTCTCAGGGACTTTTCTGCCTTGAATGGCTTCAAACCATGCTCCTCAGATCTCAGCCTCCTGATTAGCTAGGATTACAGGCTAAGCCACCAGCACCTGGCTCACCTCTCTCTCTCACAGAGAAATAGGGGTCAGGCATGACCACAGGCAAGACCCTACTTTTTTTTTCTATAGAGTTTTTGTTTGAGGATCTGAAAACTACACATCAGGGTCTAAGGGCAGCCTAGGATGGTTTGTGATAGACAGCTGTCTTCATTTGCCTGCGCCCAGCTGTGCACAGTTTTACAGCTGGAGGCTGGCTTCCAACCAGCTAATTCCTGTCTTAGGGGTCCTGTATGCCGCTGTGAGTCTCTGACTTGAATTTGATTTCCCCACAGTGGTGCCGTGGTGAAGGCCAGAGATAAATACCGGCATCCTGAGTGCTTCGTATGTGCTGACTGCAATCTCAACCTCAAACAGAAGGGCTACTTCTTCGTGGAGGGGGAGCTGTACTGTGAAACTCACGCAAGAGCTCGCACGAGGCCCCCAGAGGGCTACGACACAGTAACTCTGTACCCCAAAGCTTAAGTCCTTGGCACACACTCACGCAGCCCCCGCACCCATACATCCTTACCCCCGGCTTAGAGCAGGAGCCCCCAGACCCGAGGCCAAAGCTTTTCGACATTATCTTATTGTGTATTGATGAGAAGAAATGGGAGGCTTTTTAAAGCAATAACTTTTTCTATGTCACTGCCCACCATTTACAGTTTTAGTACAAGCATCCTGTGTGTAAACACCAAGACACTGGGGACTGGGAGGGTCTAGTTGTCTTACTTTGATGGTTGATTGGAGGGAGGGGCAATTACAGGAAACACCAAATAACAATCTTGTATTCTAACTATTCTGCGGTGGTCTTCATTTGTTTCAACTATTATGATGCATGTCAGAAAGAAATTCCCAGGATTCCTCTAGCTCCATATCTCAATATCTCAAAATGCCATACATAAAGCATTTTTTAAATGCCTAAATTTAGTTGAAAAATCAACCTTTCAACCAGAGGGCCAGCTCCTCCTTTGGCATAGCCACACTATTTAAAGGGAACTGTCTTCTTTCATTTTTATAGCTCACTCTTTCTAATGAGCCCCACACTTCTGTTGATGGGAGGGACACTTAATTCTGCTAAATGAACATAGGTCTGTCTATTTCCAATTAAAAGTGTATTTTGCTCGGACCCGGTCTCTTTGGAGTTGAAATTCTCTTTCGTGTAAATGCAGTCAAACTGAAGGTTCAAGGTCTATCCAGGATTTTTTCTCAATGCTGACACAGAAAGTGAAAAGTAGCTAAGGGGGGGCGGAAAAAAACCTGAAAATCAACCTCAATTTACTGTCTGGAATTTTGAAATAGCACAAGAATTCAAAGCACCAGCAACTTACGGGCCAGAGGATGAAAGTTAGGACTACCATGAGGAGGACTGAGTAGAAACCAGTTTAGAAGCATTTAATCCCAAGAGACTCCTTCTCCTTACACAGCCATACACACTACTGGAGGACTGTGAGCATTTATCTCAAAAAGCTGAAATGGAGCATTTTTGAGGATAAAAAGGGGGAAAAATCCTGGGTGATCTAGGTACTGTACTAAAAAGAAGATAAATTAAGAAACCATGAAAGACTCATGAGAAAAATTTACATGGATGTCCACTCCAGATCAGACATTGAATAGTGTTTTGCATAATATTAGATTTTATTTGTTGCAGAGTGCATAATGACTGCTTAAGTTTTGGTTTAGAAAGGAAATTTATAATAAACATAAACTAGTATAACACTAATCTGAAATTTAGGAAAGATACAACATAGGTAGGTTAGACTGCGTAACAAAAAAAGCCTATGAAGCATACCCTATATTCTTAATGGAAGTAGAGCTATGGCTCAAATGCTAGAGTGCTAGTCTTGAGCAAAACAGCTCAGGGACAATGCTAGGCCCTGAGCTCAAGTGGAAGTTTAAAAAACTCTGTTTTCAAAAAAAGCAAACGGGCTGGGAAGGTGGTTCAGTGGTAGAGCACTTGCCTTGCATGCCTGAGGCCCTGGGTTCAATTCCTCAGCACCACATAAGCAAAAAGAAAAAAGCCGGAAGTGGCGCTGTGGCTCAAGTGGTAGAGCGCTAGCCTTGAGCTGAAGAGCTGAGAGACAGCGCCCAGGCCTCCCACGACTGGACCAAAAAAAAAAAAAAAGCAAACAAATAAAAAGCCAGCAATAAGGGATTCATATCATAAGCAAAGGATGCCAGCCAGTGTCTTACCTTCCTCAGAGAATATCATATTTTTTAAGGAAAAAAAAGACCTGGTCATAGGCTCTGTGTTTAGACTTGTAAGCTTTTGGAAGCAAACAATAATCAGTGAAATTATCCATTGTTAAAAATTGGACCTCTTTAACTCCTTTGTACAACTAAAGATAAAAATAAATTTTAAAAAGTTGTAGCTCTGTGAACTCATCATCTCAACTCTTTGAACTCATCATCAACTAGTTATCAACTAGCTGTTCTTTCAGAGTACCTGTGGGAAAGAATTGCTACCCTCTCCACCAATAGATGATTGATTGGAAGAAAAGAATTCCATTACTACCTATTTTTGCACATGTATAAGCAGAGTACAGCAAGACACAATAGCCAATGCCACCCACTTAGAGTTTTCTCATCTCTGCATAAGATATATTTCTCAGTTGTCCAACACAGGAACACTGCAAGATAAACAAAATAGAAATAAGACAGCATATGGTCCCTCTCTGTGATCCAAGCATAATCTTTAGGGTATTTGTCCAAATATCCTATATTCTTCCTATGACTTGGTCATTTCTTCATACTACTATGAATTTCATCTATGAGTAATGATAGCCTTGTGATCTCATGAAGATCTTATGGAAATAAAAAAGCTCCACAAGTATTTTAGTCTGGTAACAAGTTGCTAAGAATAGATTTGACTAGCTTGTTTTTGTGCAATGCTCTTGAGATCACTCCAGATTCTTCACTCTGCAGCTGTTGGTGAGCAGGTGAAAGCAGATTCTCAAAAAAGAGAATGTGAAGATTTTTAAAAATACTGTAACTCATAGAGTCCTTTTGAAATTGGTAGTCAAATTTTTAATTCCATCCTTTAGCAATGAACTTCACCATCTAAAGGAGTAAAAGTGTTTTTTCAGAGTAGTTGGTGGACTGATGGACTTATGTCATAGAGAAGATGTATCATCTGACTAACAGGCTCTGCTGTCTATGTAGTGTAAGAAGATATGAAATAGAAATTGCTTACCATGTGGAGAAGATGGTATTCATGAAATGTGATCATCTCAGGATCCAGGAACTGGTAGCATCAAATATAGTTAGGTACCCTCTATCTAATTACAAATATAAATAAATAGATAAAATACTGGCGTACCTCCTAAAACTCTGGTATGTTAAGGAAGGAGGGAGAAACTTTGAAGATGTACAGAACAATATAAAACCAAGGTTTCTGAATCAGGAAGTTTACCACTGGCTTCTATTTCAAAGACTTTTTTGAAAAGTTCCTAAACTTCCCCATCTTTCCATTTTTCCCCATGGAGATCTAGAAACAAAAATTCATAAAATACAACAATTCTCAACACCATGCAAAATAAGCAAAAATATTGCACCATAAATCCAACTATTTGAGGATAATCACATTAATAAGGGAGGAAATTTAACTTCCCCCAGAGTAAGTGTTCTGAGTAACAATCTGGGTAGTATTAATAGAGGATAATCATTGTAACTTATTGAGTAATCCAAACCACTCTGATCCATACAGATAATTATGTATGTATGTATGACCAGCTCTGTTTCCTACCTAGCTAGTTCACCCCTCATTAAACAATCTGGTGGTCCCCGGCTCCCAGGAGGTTGCCATATTGATGGCTGACACCTGATGAGCATAGTACACTACAGCTCAGCACTCCTGAATTCAAGCAATCTTCCTCAGTCCACTGAGTAACTGGAACTACAGGCACAGGCCACCATGCCCCACAAATTTTTTTTTTACTATTTTATTATCTGTAAGTAGTTGTGCAAAGGAGTTGCCATTAACCGAAGCAGGTTGTGGATACAGAGCATCTTGATCAGTGTCGCCCCTTTCCACATTCTCACCCGCCCCTCTCAACCCTCCTCTTTCCTTGCTTACCTTGTATTGAATTATTCGCAATTTAACCAGGCAGTTTAAGTGTACAATGCAACCTGACTATGTCTTCACCCCTCTTCCACCCACTCCTTCTCACAAATGTTTTTGGTGTTTTGGTTCTGGAGTTATTTGTGGTACCAGGGTTTGGATCCAGGGGCTTGAGCCCACTTGGCTTGCTTGTTCAGCAGGCACTCTACCACTTGAACCCCACATCTCCAGCTCATGAAAGATGGTGGGAAATGAATTGTTTGCCTAGTTCGAAGTATCTCCCTAAGAAGTACTTATTAATTACAAAAAAATAACTTTAGAGTGGAGAACACTGGAATATACAACCTGAGGCGAGTCTTCAAGTGAGTATGATCACAGTCACGTGGCACCTAACGAGAGGCGAAAAGAAGGATGCGCATCACTTTGATGGTCCTGATGAAGATGCATGATCACTGGGAAATGGCGACAAAATCCACAGGAGAGAATATTTTACACAGTTAACTGGGCTATCATCTTCCAAGGTGTCAAGGTCAAAAACCTGGAAACTGTTCTGACTGACACACAATAAACAGACATATCATGGCAATTAAATGCAAGGCAAGATCTTGTGCTGTGTCTGTTTGTTCTGTAGGACATTGTTGGTAGAACTAGTGAAGCCTAAATGAAGCCTGTAGAGCAAAAGTAGGGCTAAAGTATCTGGGCTAATCTCTGATTTTAGCTGAGAATATTCTTTATTTATTTTTGGGGGGTGTGGTCTGGTCGTGGGTCCTGAACTCTGGACCTGGGCGCTGTCCCTCAGCTCTTCAGCTCAAGGCTAGCGCTCTACCACTTGAGCCACAGCGCCACTTCCGGTTTTTTTTCTTTTTGCTTATGTGGTGCTGAGGAATCAAACCCAGGGCCTCATGCATGCAAGGCAAGCGCTCTACCACTGAGCCAGCTCCTGAGAATATTCTTATACGTGACACAACAAAGTATTTACGAGGAGATGGAATATCATGACAGCTACTTACTTTTAATACATCATACTTTTTTCCAATTTACTGCAAGTTGATGATCACGTCTAAAAAATACATAAATACCAAAAATATCAATATACTAGAACTAGGATACATCTCAATCCTGTTTTCACTGATGTTAGTTTGAAAACTACATCAAGGCCTCAAAAAATTGTTAATAAGGCATGCTATAGAATAAAATATAACTTATGAAATGGTTTACGAGTAATGTTTGAGATTACCAAGTAAATAATATATGCTCTTCAAGCTTTCACTTGTAGATCCCTTGTCTAAATGGGACAAGAATTCAAAGCAAGCATGCCACCCAATCAGTAAACAAACCCTCATCTCCAACATGTTACCTTTTGCAATGGGTTGGCTCAAGTACATAGAAAATTAGCAGGTTTCACAAACGGAGACATCACTCCGCTACGTTTACCATTAGGAAATAGAAGCCTTCTTTTTAACTGCATCAGACAAAAGTCCTCCAACATAGCGATCTCTTTTACATCCCTAAATGCTAAGACAACGCTAAAGGATGAGTTGAAATAAAAGGAGTAAGGCAACCAAATAAAACATAAAACAAGGAAAAGGCAGGAAGGAGAAAGAAGAAGGAAGAAAAAAAAAAAACCCTTTCCAAGTGCTTGTTCTGGAACCTGTTAGGTCTCCACCAGCATTTAAATCGGATGGAGAGCCGTTCCCCTGGGCAGGGAGGACGGGATGCGCAGGGAGGGGTCGGAGTGGGATTGTGCCTGGAGTGTGGGAGGGCACCTTGCAGTTTGTCTTAGTCTCGCAGCCCTCCCCCCCAGGACTGGGGGGGGGGCGGGGGGAAGGGCGCGCGGCGCGCCCTCCCCACTCCCCCGCCCCCCCCGGTTGCTAGGCAACGGGATGCCCTGGGCGTGGGGCGCGGAATGCGTGCGGCCAGGCAGTTGGCAGAAAGATCTTGAGCAGCAGAAATGAGCCCGGGTAGGAAGCGGTCGAGGGGGGCTGTCCTTGGAGGGGGAGCCATAGGAGGGAGGTGGCACGAGGTGTTTCTAAGGCCGGCCTGGAGTGAGAACTTGTTATGTTTTGCTTTGTTTTGTTTGAGACAGGGCCTGGCTGTGTTGCCCAGGCTGGCCTTGAACTCGGTACGTAGCCCAGATTGGCCTTGAACGGCCTCAGCCCCTCCCGAGGGCTGGGATTCCGTGCGCCACCGCGCGGGGCCGCTGTGAGCATCCTCACCAACTGCACACAGCCTGGGCTCAGTCCCGGGAGAAACGCGCCCGCCCCCCTCCCCTTCTCCCACCGCCGCTGCGTGGCCCCAGCGCGCCCCCCGGTGGCCACCAAGGACATGGACGATCGGAATCCCTACCTCTCCCCTCCCTGGCTACCTGTCAGTGCTTCCTCGCAACAGAACTAAAAACCTTGCTGGATTCTGTTACAGAAAAGCATCCTGAAGAAGAGAATGAAGTCGATGCCTTTCTCCTTTCAGCGTCCAAGATCCTAAATTCCTCCGAGGGGGTACAGGAAAGTGGTGGCAGCGAAGCAGGTAAACGTCTCCAGGGTCAAGGCTGCAATGATAGTGATGATTCTGCCTCGTACTGACTGCAGGAACAGGCCCATGGCCTACATCCCTGGATGAGCTTGAATGCAATGAACTATCTAGCACCTATTATCATACCAACAGCAGCTAACACGACACTTCGTGCCAGAGTACTAAGGACTCAGACTTCACCTAAGTCCTAGGAAATAGATACTGTCATTACCACCACTTTACAAATGAAGAAACAAGCCCAGAGAAGCTAACCAACTCCCCCAGTTCACACAGGTAGCAAAGAATAGAGCCAGGTGCCAGGTGCCAAATAAGAAGTATCCGGTGGCTCCTATAATCCTGGTTGCTAAGGAGGCTGAGATCTGAGGAGCAGTGGTTAGAAACCAGTAAAGTAACACAATTAACCACCAAAAAAAAGCACCAGAAGTGGTGTTGTAGCTCTACTAGTAGAATGCTAGCCTTGAGCCAAAAGGATCAAGGATAGCACTCAGACCATGAGTTCAAGCCCCAGAACCCACACCAATAAAATAAAATGGAAGGATGAAAAATTGCAAGAATAATATCCTAGTGTTTAAGTGAAGAGCTTTGTGCACACATAAGAGAACACTGTAGAAGGTAAACAGCAAGTAGCATGAAAAATTCTGAGCTGATGTGGAAGAGAATATAATCCTTATTTTCTCCTTTTTATTCACAATGAATAAATCAACACAGAGTACAGTAGAAATGCATGTGTTAAACCCACAAAGATCCTAACCACTTAAACCTTTTCATGATATGTTCAGTTTTCACAAAAAGCATTTCTTTAGAATCTCTGAAACAGAGATATTTACATCTTTTAAATTTTTTATATTTTGCTGATGCCAGCTAATGGTTTGTTATAAGAATGAGAACACTATTGTAATCTTAAGGAGGTATCTTCTTTTTTTGTCATTAGTGGGGGCTGAGCTCTGGGCCTGGACACTGTCCCTCAGCTCTTCAGCTCAAGGCTAGCACCCTAACACTTGAGCCACAGAGCTTCCCAGCTTGTAGGTATTTTCTTAAAGTGAGGATTGTTTCTTTTTTTGCGGGAGGGCGGGGAGATCCGGTTGTGGGGCCTGAACTCTGGGCCTGGGCTCTGTCCCTCGGCTCTTCAGCTCAAGGCTAGCACTCGACCACTTGAGCCACAGCACCACTTCCAGCTTTTTTTTTTTTTCTGTTTATGTGGTGCTGAAGAACCGAACCCAGGGCCTCATGCATGCAAGGCAAGCGCTCTACCACTGAGCTACCTTCCCAGCCCAAAGTGAGAAATTATTTCCTAAATTTATTTTGACAGTAGTCTAGTGCAAATATTAAATATGCTCACTGACTGTCCCACTACCCAAGAAAGTTTGGAGGCTCTTTTGTCATAGTAACTGTTAAATATAAACTTTAAGGATTAAATGACATAATTTTTCTATTTACTTTTTAGAATATGGTTCTGTATCAGAATCAGAAAATCAAATCCAACCACAATCAGCTCTGAAAGTGAGTGTATATAATTTTATTATCTTCAAAATCCCAGGTAAAGTCTGATCTTGTTCAGAACAAATACTTCTTTAATGCATATAGTTTCCTTCACTTAAATCTTCAGAGACATTCATGTAAGTGCACTGGCAAGCCAGGGAAATGACTTAAGCACGTGGTGACCTGACTTTTATGTGATCCTTCCTGGTATCAAGTAACTTTTAGGAATAGAGGAAAAAGATAATAATTGAAGAAATAGTTAGCCCTCTTTTTAAATCTAATACATTGGTTAATGTCATTATAGGTCCTTCAACATCAACTGGAATCATTCCAGGCTTTGCGAATGCAGACTCTACAAAATGTTACCATGGTACAACTTTTATCATCTACCTATCTATCTTTCCTATCTATTTATCTATATGTGAAATAGCCTAACTTCAGGTAGCATTCCATTTCTCAACTAAGGGAGCACTTGCTAATTATTATGTCCAGATAGAATTCAATATTAACAGGTGACTATTTCAGGTTCAAATTTTTTCTTGGGAAAAGTATATTCTTCTCTCTGTTATACTTATTTGGATGTGAAACCAAAAAGAAATAGCATTTCCTGAATTTTTAAATACACTATTAAAGTGTTACCTGCATACCATCTCACAGAAACTTTCGTAAGATTTAAAATGTAACTGAAGTAGAAGGATTGCAATTCAATTCCAGTTGGGGGAAAAATTAGCAAAACTCACCTAAAAACAAATGAGGCTTGGTGGTTTATAACTAGTCCCAGCAACTCAAGAAGTGGAGGTAGGAGGATCTTAGGGCAGGAGGGAAGGAAAGGCAAGATGTCTGGGTAAAACATTCTATTACCTCCAGTCCTAGAAATCACTGGTTTCATAGGATCGGGACTCCTGCCATAAGAAGCAAGTCTCATTCCTTATTTCAGTTCTGCTTTCTAGGATGGTATGTTCCCAGAGTTTATATGTTGTCAGCTGGACTGAGAGGCCCTCTAGCATTTGTTTTCCTAGAATCAATTCAAATAAAGAGGAGCGCACACGATGTACTTTTCGTAGTTTATACTAAGAGTCTTGGCCAGATTTTGGTTTTTATTGCCCAAGATTGAGTCACATTCAGTACTTGAACAATCACTGTTTAGAAGGAGGTGGTTCTTTGACATATTGAGTCATATGCCCATCGTGTATTCTTGGTGCTAGAAGACAAATATCAGCATCATCCAAGGCAAAAGACTTCATACGGGGGAAAGGAGCACTGTAAGTAAGACAGGGTACCGATATTTGGGTACATAATGCAATATATGCTAACTCGATATCAGTGCGGGCTCATTATGCTATACTCAAAGCAACTACAGGGAATGAGAGAAAGCCTCTGAGTGATGGAAAGGATTCTTTTCTGCTGACAGAAATAAAATATCTCTTAGTTCTTCACAAGGTCAGACATCTAACATTACTGGCATGTAGTTTGTAAAAATCTTACTGTTTTACTATATTGCCGTTCTGACTTCATAATCTTAAAATCAAGGCATAATTTTCTGAAAGATGCCTTCGATGATAAAGTTTACAGTAAGTAAACAATTGACCTTCTCTATTATGGGAAATGATTTTTATGTGCAGGAAATATGAAGGTATCTTGCCATTTTAGGTGTATTATTCCTGTCCATGTATAAGGTACACAATCAAGCTTTAACGTTCTCACCTTGTCTTTTAAAGGTGCAGTCTGAAATCAGTGAGATATTGAACAAGAGCATTATTGAAGTAGAAAGCCCACAGTTCAGCTCAGAAAAAGCTCTCGTATTCAGCCCCTTCACTGAAAAGGATTTGGTATGTCATCTACACATTGCCCCTATATTTGTGTACTTCAAAAGTGTTACGACTAGTCTATCTTCACCATTACCTCTCTCCTTCTTCACAGGAAGAATGGGCTGTCAAAGAGGAAAACAAGGAAATTCCCATACTGAAAACCTCAAAAGATGTGCGTTTACCTCTGTAGTTTGACAGTTTTCCTATTTCTTTTAAGAGAGTCTCTGAGAAGCAGAATGTCTGTCTTAGGCCAGATACCTGAGATGTTTCCAAGTACATTCTATGCAAATTTGTATATCTAACCATCCACTTAGGATTGATGTAGACTTAGGAGGAATTCCCCAAAGCAGCTCCAAACCACAGTGACTACCACTGTCCATGCTAATTAGAAATCACATTTGCAGGACCATCACAGTCCCAGAACTAGGAATGCAAGCAACCATTGACAAATAGCCCATAAGTAAAAATATTTTCTTCCTTTCAGTTTCACATGGAAACCGCTCCATGTGATCTACTCCATCACCTAAGATAGTCTTTAAAAATGCTAACCTTCTAGTTCTGAAATTGAAGGATTGGCCATGCTCCTTCACCCATAAAGAAATGTGTGGTTTTAATGAGTAAATTGTGAATGTCAGAATTATAAATCTTGAAACAATTGTTCTTCCCAACTTAAGGATACCACCTGGGGACACAGGGAGAGAGAAAGACAGACAGACAGACAGACACGAGACAGAGATAGAGACAGGGACGGAGAGAAACAGGGACAGAGAGAAATAGGGACAGAGACAGAGACAGAGAGGGACCATGCTTGTTATGTTTCTTTGCAATATAAATGGATAAAATGCTTAATTCAGTTGTATAAATAAAACACAAAAATCTTAATTTTTTGATCATGTGACAAATGGCAGGACATTTATATATGCCCTTTATAATGCTAGCCTCTAGAGAAGCAAGAAAATACCCTTTCTATGGAAAAAAATCATCATTTTGAGGATCCCAAAGCTTTTCATTCAAGGGAAGAAAAATTTAATAGTAATATTGTTAATGGTCTCTCTCAACATGTAACTACTCCATGCCAGACACATTTCAAGGACACATTAACACCGGAGAACTTGACGAGGTCAACAGATAATTCAGCTTCAAGTACAACTATGGGTTCTTCAGAAAATTCTGATATAGTGAGGAACTGCAATAAGGTATACAGTTTTCTACCTATAGGACCTCAAAATATGTCATCATCTGGCACAGACCTTCTTGAAAAATCTAAAGTTGCTGAACAATTTCTGAAGCATGGATTCTGTGAGAATTTAGAGGATATTTGCTTCTCCATTAAACACATGAAGGAAAAGCTTCAGAAGTCACAGGAGAGGGAACTGGCACTAACAAGTGAACTTCAAAACTTAAAAACAGACACAAATACATACAGTAATGGCAAATTCAACCTATGCCCCATTCAGAAGGAGCAAATGAACTTTGTTAAGGAAGAAAACATAGGTGCTAACATAAATGATGATCTAAAATCAAAAAGAATTTCAGAATTAGAGGCATTAATCAATAAATTACTCCCACTCAAGGACACGGTGGCAAAATTCCACGTGAGTTTTTGCAGGAAATGTAGAAAGCTATCTAAGAGTGAAATGCACTGGGGAAGAAGGAATGAGAGAAACAGTAAAGACATTCCTCTCACCAGCAAGAATATCACAGACTTAAAATTCCACTCGAGAGTTCCAAAACACACGCTGTCATGCCTTGACCAAAGAAAACACGAAGTGAAAGAGGCAGAGAGGCAGCCATTTGTAGTAAACCCAGGATCCATGCTATTGGAAGATGAGAAGAACTCCAGTGTCAATTCTGTTGCTGACTGTGTTGCCAAAATTCAATACTTACAGCATTACCTAAAAGACTCCATGCATGTACAGAGAAAAGTTGCAGAACTGGAGAGTGAAAATCGAACCCTTAAGGCCAAAATGAAACCTCTTATCTATACCACACAATCAATGATCCAAAAGATGGAAATGTATGAAAAGCAACTCACCAGTCTGGTTGAGGAAAAGAGTGTCATTCACTCCAAGTTACTTAAAGAAGAAGAAGAGAGCCAAGAATGCCTGAAAGAATTTAAGAAACTAATTAGTAAGTATAATGTTCTCCAAAGCCAAAATAAAATTCTAGAGGAAAGAAACAGTCAACTCTCTTTGGAGAAGCAGCAAATGTCCGAAGCATTGGAACAACTCAAAAGTAAAGATCACAAAACTCAGAATGACATGGTCCTTATCCATAATGAAAACAATCGAATGAGCATAGAAATGGAAGCAATGAAAAGCAACATCCTATTGGTACAAGATGAAAAGGATGAGTTGGAGAAAAATGCCTACCATCTACTGAAGGATAAAAACCTGCTGGAAAACCAACTGAAAGAAAACCAGCTAGAGATGCTGCAGTTAAAGGAGAAAGAAAAACTTGCCCAAACGGAGCAAGAAGCACTTCTTCAAATTCTAGAATCATTGAAGCATGAAAAGCTGAATCTCGAAACAGCCCTAGAAGATTCCACTGCCGCTAGGCAAAGGATGGAACAAGAAATGGAGAACGTCCAAAGCTACCAGTCCACGGCCGAAGAGAATTTCCTGAAAGAAATAAAAAATGCAAAAGCAGAAGCAAGTATTTACAAAAACAGCTTGTCAGAAATGCGCGAGGAATGTGAAATGTTATCCAAAATGGTGAGGGAAATTAAGACGGACAATCAAATTCTGAAAGGAGAACTAAAGAAGCACACTCAAGAAAACACCAAGTTTGAAAAGAGCATCAGCCGACTGACTGAAGACAAAGTATTTTTAGAAAACTATGTAAGAAGCATAGAAAATGAAAGGGACACCTTGGAATTTGAGATGCGGAATCTGCAGCGAGACTACTTGAATTTGAGCGGTAAAATGTGTAATCAGCATAATGACCGACCAAAAATTACTTATGCTTCCAGAAGAGAGAAATTCCATTTTGACAACTATGAAGACACTACTAGATCCAGGAACAGACCTTTAGCCCCAGATTTAAAAGGTGTGTATGCTGTGATCCACGAGTAGCTATGTATGTAAGATTGCTCTAGCCTATTGGACACTTTAGAGTACAGAAGTAAGAATGAGACTTGAAGATGAACATAATTGAGTTTTGAAAGTTTTGCATTTATCTATTCTGTTTGGCTTTTTGAGGGACTGTCACACTATATATGTCAAACTGTATTCAGACTCATAATTCTGTTTCCAGAGTGGCAATGAAGCTTAGCTCAAATTTATTAGATTATAGAATTATTTAAGAATTTTGTGCCCTGGATGAAATCCCTATTCCACTTTTAACATTTACATATATTAAATGTGAACTATACTTCTTTGGCAGGAAGCAAATATTTTTAAATTATTCTGAAATATATTGAGCATTCGCACCTTAAACATATTTCTTTTCTCTTTTTCAGGAATTCCAAATAAGCTATATCAATTGGTTCCATCCAAGACAATGTAAATAAAATTTCTAAAACATCAGTGTTTCAAAACTTCTTTCCCCCTCTCCACACTAAATAATCTTAAATTAATTTTATATATTATAATAATAACCTTGTAACTCACCCAAACAAATTAGTTTTCAAAATTAGAAATTGGAATTAGGCATTTAAACATATATATCTATATAGATAGATAGATAGATAGATGTGCATATATACATACATATATGTGTGTACATACATATATAATTAGACTGTCAAGAAGTGTGAAGAATCGGATCATTTATCCATTTAATAAGCTAGTTTAGTATCCTACTACAATTTCACGGAGTCTAGGGAAAGACATGGAAGTCTTGGATCAGCAACATAGGAGAATTTGCTACTTGCAATGGTATAGTAGCTTACAGCATTAGTATTTTTGCATAAGTCTCGTCTCAATTTCCTATAAGCAACTTAAAGACCACCACCATGCAGTGGGATGCATAGGAGAGTAGCCTTGATATTACAGAAGCTAAATCTTTTATAGGGTGCAACAAACTTGCCTTTTTCTTTTCTGTATGGAAACATTATTGCTGACAGTAAGATGTCTGCCCTGCCGCCTCCCTCTAGCTTCCAAGGCTGTAAGCAAAATTACTCTTTGCTCCAGATGGCAATAATATCTTTTAGAACTGTTGGCCTTAGAATTCCTTGTTAAATGCTGCAAAATGCCTTTTCCTGCACTTTAGATAATCATGTATTTTCTTTCTTTTTGATCTGTTAATATGGTAAATAACATTAATTTTGAAACATCATACCAACCTTGCATTCCTAGAGTTAACCCTACCAAATCATATGGTATTAGTCTTCCATAGATAGATAGATAGATAGATAGATAGATAGATAGATAGATAGATGAGTAGATGAATGGACAGACAGACAGATAGAGGGAATTTATTTTTTATTGTCTACAGCTGGTCTGGTTTTAGTATCAGGAAAATCCTGGTCTTACAAATAATTGTTGAGAAGTGTTCCCTCCTCTGTTTACTGATAGTAGTAGTATAAAGTTAACATTGTCATTATTCATACTAAATCTAATCCACCAGAGAGATTGGGATTTTCTAATCTTCTGAGAAGATTTTAAATTGCAAAATGTATTTCATTAATAAATATGGAACTATTCAGGTATTATGATTTAGTCAGTTTTGGTAAATTGTATGTTCTGAGGGATTTGAGTTTATCATGTAAATTTTCAAATTGTCATGAATTTGTAATATTATTATGATTTAATGTCCAGAGATCCTGTGATATAATGTGTTATATTGCTGATACTGGTTGTTTGGGGTTGTTTGGCCTATCTAGAGTTTATTTCATTATTCTTCTGTAAAATCAGCTTCTTGTTTCTGGTTTTTCTCTATCAATTTGCTTGAGTCCATTGATTTGTTTTTCTATTTAATCAATCAGTCCTTAGCTTTCTTTGGGGCTTAATTCATTTCTTTTCTACTTTTTTAAGGAGGAAGGGCCCTTATTTTTCTCTACCATGTATGTTTAAAACTTTAACTTTCCTTTCAAGTACTTATATAAATGAATTATCTAGTTTGATATGTTTTCTTATTCAAAATATTCCTTGTTTCTCTTGTTATTCTCCACTAGATGGAGAATTATAACTGAATTGGATATTTTCAGATACTTTTCTAATTTTAATTTTTCTAATTCTGTTATAATCAGAGAACATGTCTGTATAGTTTGTCTTTTACTGAGACTTGTTTAATTTCCCAGAATATGGTTTACATTCACTAACACTTAATGTGAACTTAGAATATTCTGCTGTTGTTGCATGAATTGTTTTATAAATATCAACTCAGCACTGACAAGCGCTGAAAAAAAATCTGTATTTTTACTGGTCTTCTTTCTACTGGTTCTAACAATTACTGATGGAAGAATAAATAGATTTCATTCTACCTGTTTTTGTTACACATGTATAAAGCACACTGATGTACTTTTCAGCATGTGTATGTCCTGTTGGTGAGCTGACCCCTTTTTATTATTATGAAATGGCTATCCCTGGTGAGATCTCATATTATGAAATTTTTGATATAGAAACCATAGTTTTTTTTATATTTGCAGAGTATACCTATTTGCATCCTTTTACTTTGTGCTGCGTCAGTAGGGCTGAGGAGGGATGGATGCTCCAGGAGAGGCAGCTGTACGCAGCTAGGGACAAATACGAAAGACTGCCAACCACAAAGCTCATCCTTCTTCTCCTTGTAAGACGCCAAGCCAATAAGTTCATTCTCATTTCCCTCAACTCATAATCTGTTGCTTGCGTAAGTTAAAAACAGAAGACATAGCACCCTGTATCATAGCATGCATGATACAATATAAACAAATCTCATTTGTATTTGCTATTGAGCATATTGATAGGTTATGACATTTGAATATCACTATTGAAAATGCCTCGAAGAATAAGCAACTTAAGAATGTGCTGTGCACTTTCTCACCTCCGATCCTTACCACTGCCCCTCCCATCCCCCTTACAATTTCTTAAAACTAAAACTCCTTAAAAATGATAGGCTACATTTCAACATTTAGTAGACAGCATATTCTACTTAGAAATATAGATCTAAAGACATAAGTCAGAAAGCCCACTTCAATTATTAGCAAATACTCTTTATTAATTGATAGTATTGAAATCAAAAAGAATATCAGAGTTTCAGGTTGAAATTTCTTTGAGATACTTGAGCTATCTGTTCCACATTTTGTATTTTTTTCCCAACAATTAGCTCTTCATAAGGAGTCATTGGTCGTCAGAATCTAAAAGCTACTTGTCTTCCAGTTAATAGGACTGTACTGAAGCAGTCTTGTAATTATTTGTATTCAGTGTTCTACAATTAGAAAATAACACACAATTTTATAGTTATATTTTATAGGTGAAAATCTGTGCCCTCTCATAATTTGTTAACATTCTCATAATTTCCTAGCATGCTAATTATCCATAAAATGTTTCCTTCCTTTTATAGTTGTGAGTATCTAACCTAGCACTTTGACATGTTATACATGCGAAGCATGTAGTCTCCCACTGAGCAATACACATCTTCAGCCCACAAACAAAATATTCTTGTCAACTTAAAACCTTTATCTTTATTAAAGTCAGATATATCAGGGAGCCAGTAACTCATGTCTGTAATCCTAGCTACATAGGAGGCTGAGATCTGAGGATCCTGGATCAAAGCTAGCCTGGGCAGGAAAGTCTGTGAGACTCTCCTATTAATCACAGAAAAAGCCAGAAATAGTGCTGTGGCTCAAGTGGTAGAGCACTAGCCTTGAGCAAAAAGCTCAAGGACAGAGTCCAATCCCAGAGTTTGAGCCCCAGGACAAGCAAAATAATGATGACGATGATGATGATGATTGATGATGATGATGATGATACATATATACATACACACATAAAGTCAGAAAGCATAATTTAAGAAGAAGAATTATGGGAAATAAAAGATTACTTTGAAAGTATAAAAGGTAGACATCTTGATTGTTGAGACAAGTAAAAGATCTTCCTACCTTTTGACATTCAAAGCCACTATACTTTCAACTGGTCTGCTTTTTGGTCCATTTGGTGGATGGAAAATCTTCTCACTTTTTCCGACAGGCTCCTTTCTGAATTTAACCACAGCTGGTTCAACAGAATGTGACGGATATGGGTCAAATGTTCCAGCCTTCATTCCACCAGGCTACCAAGAAAAAATAGACTGTCTCATGGGATTTTGTGAAATGCTTCTGCACAATTAGATCCTGAAGAATTTCCTTCATATTTTGGTAGTCTATAAAGTTGGTTACAAAAGCTATCTATTCTTTATGGACAGGGCTGGGAAAGGTGGGAAGAATGCTGGAAGTGATGACATTGATCAAGATGCATTGTACTCATAAACTGACATGTTGAATTGAAACTCCTTTATACCAGTGATACTGATCAAGATGTACTGCATTTATAAATGGATTTGTTGAATGTACCCCTCTGTACAATTACTTAAAGATACAACTGAAACCAAGCACTGGTGACTCACTTCTGTAATCCTAACTACTCAGAAGGCTAATATCTGAGTCTTGTGGTTTAAAGCCAAGCAAGGCAGGAAAAATATATGAGATTCTTATCTCCAATAAACTACCAAAAAGTCAGAAGTGGAGCTGTGGCTCAACTGGTAAAATCTGAAGCCTTGAGACAAAAAAAAAAAAGCTCATGCCCAAGCCCTGAACTTAAACCCCAGGAGAGCACGAGGAGGAAGGGGGGGAGAAGGAGGGGGAGGAGGAGGAGGAGGAGGAGGAGGGGGGGAGGGGGAGGAGGGGGGAGGGAGAGGGGGGAGGAGGAGGAGGAGGGGGAGGGGGAGGATGGGGAGGGGGGAGGAGGGGGAGGGGGGAGGAGGAGGAGGAGGGGGAGGGGGAGGATGGGGGAGGAGGAGGGGGGGAGGAGGAGGAGGAGGAGGACAGGGGGGAGGAGGAGGAGGAGGAGGAGGGGGAGGGGGAGGATGGGGGAGGAGGAGGGGGGGGGGGGAGGAGGAGGAGGAGGAGGACAGGGGGGAGGAGGAGGAGGAGGAGGAGGAGGAGGAGGAGGGGGGGAGGAGGAGGAGGAGGAGGAGGAGGAAGAGGAGGAGGAGGAGGAGGAGGAGGAAAAGCAACCCTTTTGTACAACTAATGAAAAGTAATTATTGAAAATGAAAAATGAATTGATTAAAATGAATTTTACTTACTTTTTTTCCAGGAGAAGAGGGTTTAAAAGCACCTGAAAGTAATTCTCTTTTCGCTTCTTTTTTGATTGGAGGCAAAGTTTCCTCAAATACGTAAGGATTAGCATCAAAGTAATCCTTCGGGTAAAGATTCAACTTGAATGCAGCCCCCTTCATCAAACGGCGGTGGTCCTCTATGTGTTTCTATAAATTGAATGAAATTACACAGCGTAAGTAATGCAATCTGAAAAGAATTTAGAGTAAAATTCGTTTACATTTTAATATAAACATGTAGGCTCTATGACATATATTGCTGAATACACTTT